GCTGACGCCTACCCCATGTCCTGTGATGTTGGAGGTCCCGCCGACTACTCTCCTGCCGGGGGTCCTGCCAACCCTATGTCCTGTGATGTTGGAGGTCCCGCCGACTACTCTCCTGCCGGGGGTCCTGCCAACCCTATGTCCTGTGATGTTGGAGGTCCCGCCGACTACTCTCCTGCCGGGGGTCCTGCCAACCCTATGTCCTGTGATGTTGGAGGTCCCGCCGACTACTCTCCTGCCGGGGGTCCTGCCAACCCTATGTCCTGTGATGTTGGAGGTCCCGCCGACTACTCTCCTGCCGGGGGTCTTGCCAACTCCATGTCCTGTCCTGTTGGGGGTCCCGCCGACACCTGTCCTGCCAGGGGTCCTGCCAAATCCATGTCCTGTCCTGTTGGGGGTCCCGCCGACACCTGTCCTGCCAGGGGTCCTGCCAACTCTGTGTCCTGTCCTGTTGGAGGTCCCGCCGACACCTGTTCCACCGGGGGTCCTGCCAACTCTGTGTCCTGTTCCGTTGGGGGTCCAGTCGACACCAGCCCATGTCATGTTCAGGACCCCGTCTACGCCTGTCCCGTCGGCTCCGGTTCCTGTCCGGCCGATACTGGTTCCTGCTCGTCCTCCGGAGCTGTCCCGTCGGCGCCTTCCTGCCCGGCCTCCGGAGCTGTCTCGTCGGCGCCTTCCTGCCCGGCCTCCGGAGCTGTCTCGTCGGCGCCTTCCTGCCCGGCCTCCGGAGCTGTCCCGTCGGCGCCTTCCTGCCCGTCCTCCGCAGCTGTCCCGTCGGCGCCTTCCTGCCCGTCCTCCGGAGTTGTCCCGTCGGCGCCTTCCTGCCCGTCCTCCGGAGCTGTCTCGTCGCCGCCTTCTTGTTCGCCCTCGAGCCCGGCCCCCTGAGTGCCGCAGTCTTCGCCCTCGAGCCCGGCCTCCTGAGTTCTCCAGCCGCGGTCTTCGCCCTCGGGCTCGGCCTCCTGATTCTTCCAGCCGCTGCCTTCGCCCTCGAGCCCGGTCCCCTGAGAGCCGCTGCCTTTGCTCTCATGCCCGGCCCCCTGAGTTCGCCCGCTGTGGCCGTCGCCCCTTTTTGGACTCTGCCTTGCCCCCGGGCCGTCCGCCCGGGACCCCTTTCGGGCCCGTCCTCCGGACCCCCTCCACCCACCCTTTTGGAAGTGTTAGACTATGTTTTTTGGGACGTCTGGGATCCGTCCCTTGAGGGGGGGGTTATGTCACGATCTGTCTGTGTTGTGTTTTGTCTTGTCTTTTTCTGTCTCTGGTTTCTGTTTTGTTTTGAAATGTTTTCCTCCTTGTGTCTTCTCTGTTCCTTCTTCCTGTGTTTGCCTTCCTGTCTTAGTTTCCCTGGTGTGTCTGATTGTTTGATTGTGTTCACCTGTTGCCCTTGTGTTTCTGCCTCCCTTACCCCAGCTGTGTCTCGTCTTGTGATTACCCCTCTCTGTATTTAGTCTTGTCTTCCCCTGTGTGCCTTGTCGGTTCATTGTTTGTTTCTGTAGAACCTATGTGTTTCATGCCATGCTATTGTTCAGCTTTTGGATTAAAGCTCGTTTTCGTTTCTAGACCTTGTTACTTTGTTTGATAGTCTGCATTTGGGTCCTACCCTTCCACGCATTCCTGACAGCTGCATCATCATCAGAAGGATGTCTACCGCTGTCAGATGGGGAGACTTCCGAAGAGGGCTGCTATAACAGTACTGCTTCTTCGTCTTCACCTGATGGGTCATTGGAGCAGCAGCGGAAGCGGGAGGGAAAGAGGCAAATGAAGTCGGGACCGGGGCTGGTTGACACTCCTGATGATGGGGCAGGGGCCGTGGACTCAACCTGTTTGCCCTGGTGCACCGTAAGAATTAGACACCTAATTTGGTCCCCTGAATCCCGCTAAACATTGTGAATATGTATACCGTGTATATAATTATTATTATTATAATCCTGGGCATACATTTTGTTAATAGTGCAACACCTCCAGGGCGCATAATTGCACTTTAAAACGTAGGGTAAAACATTTAGTAGTACTGTTATAGCAGCAGTACTGCTACGTGTACATAGTTGATGTTTTAGGCTGTGTGTACTGTGGTTTTTGTTCCTGCAACGTGTAAATAGTTGATGTTTTAGGCTGTGTGTACTGTGGTTTTTGTTCAAATAAAATAAAAAAAATAAAAAAACAATAACCTTGATGGTTACCAGGGGCAGATAAAGTGCCACTTTCCATCAGCACCGGGGAGGCACTCTCCTTGGTGCTGAACCCTGTGATGAGCGCTCAAGTGTTGGCGGAGGAGGTGTAAGCCAGAGGAGGGTGAACAAAAGTTAAAGTGTTTGAACCTCCAGCCCAGAAGGGGGGTGGTGGTGCCAATAAGAAGGCCGAATTTGGATGCTGATGGGCGGACATAAAAGCACCACAAAATCCACCCCCTTTAGGGTCACCAGGGGCACGAGAATACCCTCCACAGAAGGGGGGGTGGTGCCGTGAAGAAGGACGAATATGAATGCTGATAGCGGACATAGCAGCATCATAAATACAACCCCCCTTGTAGGGTCACCAGGGGCACGAGAATACCCTCCACAGAAGGGGGGGTGGTGCCGTGAAGAAGGACGAATATGGATGCTGATGGGCGGACATAGAAGCACCATAAAAACCACCCCCCTTGTAGGGTCACCAGGGGCACGAGGTTCTGGTGGGTGTGAATACCTGTGTTTAGTCCGTGGGGGAGTGCTTAACTGTGGGGGCCCGGGGACTCACGGTGTGCAAGGTTATGGAGGTGCCACTGTTATGGGGACATGCTGGAGGTCTCGAGTCCGTCCTTGGGGGCTCTGTGAGCGGGCAGAGAGAGGTGATTTCCCCCTGGTCTCTCCTGGAGGTGCAGAGTCCCACTGTTAGGGACTGCTGCTGGAGGTCTCGAGTCCGTCCTTGGGGGCTCTGTGAGCGGGCAGAGAGAGGTGATTTCCCCCTGGTCTCTCCTGGAGGTGCAGAGTCCCACTGTTAGGGACTGCTGCTGGAGGTCTCGAGTCCGTCCTTGGGGGCTCTGTGAGCGGGCAGAGAGAGGTGATTTCCCCCTGGTCTCTCCTGGAGGTGCAGAGTCCCACTGTTAGGGACTGCTGCTGGAGGTCTCGAGTCCGTCCTTGGGGGCTCTGTGAGCGGGCAGAGAGAGGTGATTTCCCCCTGGTCTCTCCTGGAGGTGTAGAGTCCCACTGTTAGGGAGTGCTGCTGGGGGTCTCTAGTCCGTCCTTGGGGGCTCTGTGAGCGGGCAGAGAGAGGTGATTTCCCCCTGGTCTCTGCTGGAGGTGCAGAGTCCCACTGTTAGGGAGTGCTGCTGGAGGTCTCTAGTCCGTCCTTGGGGGCTCTGTGAGCGGGCAGAGAGAGGTGATTTTCCCGGTCTCCGCCCTGGAGGTGTGAAATAACCAGAATCCTACTGTTAGGGACTTCTGCTGGAGGTCTCCTGCATTTAAACAGATTCACCAGTTTATAACGTTACTTTAGCCCTGATCAGAGCCCTGTTTTATGGGTAAGACAGCGATGTGCTGTACCCTGGCTCTCTGGCTCTCTGAGACCCTGCTAAAAGCAGTGAGTCTGCTGCCTGCATTTAAACAGATTCACCAGTTTATAACGTTACTTTAGCCCTGATCAGAGCCCTGTTCTCAAATCGTATTTTCAAAATCTGACCCTCTGCCGTAACTCCGCTCCCCGAGGTCCTAGAGATTCGGCGATGGTACCGTTGGATGCGGGGTACGTGTAAATGGGGGGGTAGAGAAAAAGCCTGAACCGAACAGAGCTTGTTATCAAAAGTTATGGATTAGTAGCAATATTTCACAATGGAGCTCTCCGGGGTGCTGAAGGTCATTAGTCCGTCGTTTGGGGGTCTGTGAGCGGGCAAATAGAGGTGATTTTCCCCTGGTCTCTGCTGGAGCTGTGAAGGAAACAGAGTCCCACTGTTAGGGACTGCTGCTGGAGGTCTCTAGTCCGTCCTTCGGGGCTCTGTGAGCGGGCAGAGAGAGGTGATTTCCCCCTGGTCTCTCCTGGAGGTGTGAAATAACCAGAGTCCCACTGTTAGGCACTGCTGCTGGAGGTCTCTAGTCCGTCCTTGGGGGCTCTGTGAGCGGGCAGAGAGAGGTGATTTCCCCCTGGTCTCTCCTGGAGGTGTAGAGTCCCACTGTTAGGGACTGCTGCTGGAGGTCTCTAGTCCGTACTTGGGGGCTCTGTGAGCGGGCAGAGAGAGGTGATTTCCCCCTGGTCTCTCCTGGAGGTGTAGAGTCCCACTGTTAGGGACTGCTGCTGGAGGTCTCTAGTCCGTCCTTGGGGGCTCTGTGAGTGGGCAGAGAGAGGTGATTTCCCCCTGGTCTCTCCTGGAGGTGTGAAATAACCAGAGTCCCACTGTTAGGGACTGCTGCTGGAGGTCTCTAGTCCGTCCTTGGGGGCTCTGTGAGTGGGCAGAGAGAGGTGATTTCCCCCTGGTCTCTCCTGGAGGTGTGAAATAACCAGAGTCCCACTGTTAGGGACTGCTGCTGGAGGTCTCTAGTCCGTCCTTCGGGGCTCTGTGAGCGGACAAAGAGAGGTGATTTTCCCGGTCTCCGCCCTGGAGGTGTGAAATAAACAGAGTGCTACATTTTGTAAATAGCAGAATACCTCCATGGCGCATAACTGCACTTTACAAGCCAGGGAAGGTGCTTCAATCCTGGGTATACATTTTGTAAATAGTGCAATACCTCCAGGGCGCATAACTGCACTTTACAAGCCAGGGAAGGTGCCTCAATCCTGGGGTAAACATTGTTTAATTGTTTAAGTGTTTTTAAATGTATGGAACAGTGTTTTGTCTCTTTCAAAACTCTCCCGCCATTGGCCGGATACATGGGGACGATTTTATATTCACTATGGCCGTTAATATTCCAGTGAGACGAAGTACGTCCGGTGACGGGAGTGATCCCATGTTAATTTTGTCCAAAAACCAGAGCATTCCCTCATCCCTCAAAGAGTTTAGTATCTTGATGAATGGAGGATATGGTTTCAGTACTCACAGGTCTTCTGGATCTTGGCTCTGATCGTCTTACCCCTTCCGATCCTGTAGAGATGAACACAATCCAACAGCTTTAGATCCAGTTTAAATAAGTGTTAGTTCTTTGAGTCAGCTTCAGAGTCCTGATCTCATGCTTTACATCCCATCAGATCTTCTCTGCAAACACTACGACTGCCTGCCACAGCTCTCAGCTGCATGACAGGAAGTAACCAGTCATTGGTCTAGAACAGGGGGGTCCAAACTCTTTTCCCCGAGGGCCACATACAGAAAGATATATAAAGGTCTGGGCCGCTCTCTAGAGGTATGTTGCCTCATAAGTTCAGTTATAAGTCAGAAACCTCAGATGAAGGTAAAGGATGCTTGTTACTTGAAGATGCTTTAAGAAACAACAGCTCCCAGCTCTCCAGAGGGTTCACTTTATTCTGTCAGCAGCTCATTCCTTAAAGCAGGATCTTCAGATTGATTATAATCACAGGAAATATGAAGGGTCTATTTCACGCTTGTTATACAAATAAGTTATTGGGCTTTTTTCTTATCAAGTTAGATTTGTTAGAACATGTTTTCAGCTTTAATGACTGAATTTATTTAAAAAGTGGGATTATGAACACATGAATACTACTGAGTAATATATGTGTACATATATATTTAAGAAGTACAATATAAGACAAGCACAAGTTTCATTAGTGGGTCATATTTCATTATACTTTCAGAATTTGCTGAGGGCGGATTCAGAGGGCCGCATTTGGCCCCCGGGCCGCAGTTTGGACACCCCTGGTGTAGAAACTAAAAACATCCCATAAGAACAGACCACCTTTCCCACTCTTCTGTAAAACCCCGTCTGTTAGAGAGTTGATTACTAAAGTGTGGCTTTGCATGTTCAGCTGGCCTTCTATAGTTGATGGAAGAATGAGAGAGCCTGCAGTCAGTGGGTAACATCACTGATCTGTTTCCCCAGAGAGAGAAACACCTCCCTGTGGTTCATACAATACTGCTGAACCAGCAGAGACCCCTTACTGACCTGAGGGTCTCCAGTCTGCAGTCTGGACTATCCAGAAGATCTCTCAGCAGCTTCTCATCTGAAGCCTTCAGATCGTTCTCTCTCAGGTCCAGCTCTCTCAGATGGATGTTGGACTTCAGAGCTGAGATCAGAGCAGAACAGCTGATCTCTGACAACCTGCAGCGCCACAGTCTGAATAAAGAAAACATGATGAGGATACAAATCAGTTTATAATCAGATGTTACTCAACATTTAAATGAATGGGAACAAAAACATGTCTTCTTCAGAAAGTCAACTTTATTAATGTAAAACTAATATTACTTCAGATGAACTTTATTCAGACGTTATTGTTTACTAAATATTAAAAACATAGATTTACTTTTTACAACTAAGATCTATTCCAGTTCCTTCAAGAATCAGACAACATCTAAGTCTGCAGTTCTTACTTTAGTAGCTACAAATGAAAATATGAATAAAAGAACATTTACAACTGAATGGATGTAAGTTAATGATGTAGAAGAATCAGGATGAATATCTAATGAAACATGAGATCTCCAGCAGTAACAGAGAGTCAGTGAACTGACCTGAGAGTCTGCAGTCTGCAGTCTGGACTCTCCAGAAGATCTCTCAGCAGCTTCTCTCCTGAATCCTTCAGAGTGTTGTGACTCAGGTCCAGAACTCTCAGATGGATGTTGGACTTCAGAGCTGAGATCAGAGCAGAACAGCTGATCTCTGACAAACTGCAGTCCCTCAGTCTGAATAAAGAAAACATGATGTAAGTTTAGAAAACAAAGTTCCTGTTTGAAATAACTCCAGGTTTAATAATCTGTTCAGAGTTAAACAGGGTTTCAAAGGTCTCCTATCTGCTATCTTTAGGCATATATTCTGGGTCTCAGATATATAACAATATATAAAAACATCTCTATGATGTGTTTTGCTCCAAATACCAAACAGATCCTGAATTTTAGAAATCCCTCATATCCCTCTGTTCCAGCTGTTAGAGAAGAGCAGGTTCGGGGTCCTTAGCTTGAAAAAAGAGGAGGGGGAGCAAATGCCTGATCAGAATTACCCGGCAGATACAGCTAAATGCTGCCGTGATTAAACACCATCATGTTCCAAACCACATCAAGGATTCTCTCTGAAACAGCATGGAGCTCAAACTCTTTCTCTCTCAGGTTTACCACAAGGTGAGTTCCTTTTGATTTCCTGCTTCTTCACACATACTCTCTCCAGTACAGGTTAGCTCTGAGTGTTAGCATGCTAATGTAAATACAGACCATATTACTTCCAGATCACGTCTCATTGTTTCTGACAGCAACGTTTCTGATTGGCCCGTGGGTGTAAAGCCCGCCCACATTTTAGTAATGTCGTCATGACGCAGCAAATCTGGATCAGCTCCGTTGTTCCCCCATTTTTAGAGATGTGGGTACGGAGGAGAAGAGAGAGGGGTTTATTTCCTGACACTTTGAGAGTCTCCTGACACACCGGAGACACACGGGGACACACCGGGGACACACCGGGGACACACCGGGGACACACGGGGGACACACCGGGGACACACCGGGGACACACCGGGGACACACCGGGGACACACCGGGGACACACCGGGGACACACCGGGGACACACCGGGGACACACGGGGGACACACCGGGGACACACCGGGGACACACCGGGGACACACCGGGGACACATGGTGATGTAGAGAAGACATCAGAAAGTGCATTCTGCATGATAGGTCCCCTTTAATGTCAGAGATGATGCAGAAACAATCCACTGATAATCTGGAACTTTAACTTTGATCAGATGTTTATCAACTCCTTCATCTCCCTCACAGATCATCAGTACTGACAGCATCTCCACTGACTCATGGAGCACAGAGTGAGTCTGTGGAAGCTCAAACTCTCTCCCTCACACATTCACCTTCTCTCTGTTACTCTGATCAATATGCAGTCATTAGCAAAAGTGGAACAAATAATTTAAATGTATTTGTTCAAATTCAGAAAATCATAAATACAAACAGATGAAGTTCATTCAGTGAACTGACCTGAGAGCCTCCAGTCTGCAGTTTGGACTCTTTAGTCCAGAGATCAGCAGCTCCACATCTGGATCCTTCAGAGGGTTGTTACTCAGGTCCAGATCTCTCAGATGGATGTTGGACTTCAGAGCTGAGGCCAGAGCAGAACAGCTGATCTCTGACAAACTGCATCTCCTCAGACTGAATAAAGAAAACATGATGAGGATACAAATCAGTTTATAATCAGATGTTACTCAACATTTAAATGAATGGGAACAAAAACAAAAAAAATGTCTTCTTCAGAAAGTAAACTTTATTAATGTAAAACTAATATTACTTCAGATGAACTTTATTCAGACGTTATCGTTTACTAACTATTAAAAACATAGATTTACTTTTTACAACTAACATCTATTCCAGTTCCTTCAAGAATCAGACAACATCTAAGTCTGCAGTTCTTACTTTAGTAGCTACAAATGAAAATATGAATAAAAGAACATTTACAACTGAATGGATGTAAGTTAATGATGTAGAAGAATCAGGATGAATATCTAATGAAACATGAGATCTCCAGCAGTAACAGAGAGTCAGTGAACTGACCTGAGGGTCTCCAGTCTGCAGTCTGGACTCTCCAGAAGATCTCTCAGCTTCACTCCTGAATCCTTCAGATCGTTGTCACTCAGGTCCAGATCTCTCAGATGGATGTTGGACTTCAGAGCTGAGATCAGAGCAGAACAGCTGATCTCTGACAAACTGCAGAGCATCAGTCTGAATAAAGAAAACATGATGAGGATACAAATCAGTTCATAATCAGATGTTACTCAACATTTAAATGAATGGGAACAACAACAAAATGTCTTCTTCAGAAAGTAAACTTTATTAATGTAAAACTAATATTACTTCAGATGAACTTTATTCAGACGTTATCGTTTACTAAATATTAAAAACATAGATTTACTTTTTACAACTAACATCTATTCCAGTTCCTTCAAGAATCAGACAACATCTAAGTCTGCAGTTCTTACTTTAGTAGCTACAAATGAAAATATGAATAAAACAACATTTACAACTGAATGGATGCAAGTTAATGATGTAGAAGAATCAGGATGAATATCTAATGAAACGTGAGATCTCCAGCAGTAACAGAGAGTCAGTGAACTGACTTGAGAGCCTGCAGTCAGTGGGTAACATCACTGATCTGTTTCCCCAGAGAGAGAAACACCTCCCTGTGGTTCATACAATACTGCTGAACCAGCAGAGACCCCTTACTGACCTGAGGGTCTCCAGTCTGCAGTCTGGACTCTCCAGAAGATCTCTCAGCTCCACTCCTGAATCCTTCAGATCGTTGTCACTCAGGTCCAGATCTCTCAGATGGATGTTGGACTTCAGAGCTGAGATCAGAGCAGAACAGCTGATCTCTGACAAACTGCAGAGCCTCAGACTGAATAAAGAAAACATGATGAGGATACAAATCAGTTTATAATCAGATGTTACTCAACATTTAAATGAATGGGAACAACAAAAACATGTCTTCTTCAGAAAGTAAACTTTATTAATGTAAAACTAATATTACTTCAGATGACCTTTATTCAGACGTTATTGTTTACTAATTATTAAAAACCTAGATTTACTTTTTACAACTAACATCTATTCCAGTTCCTTCAAGAATCAGACAACATCTAAGTCTGCAGTTCTTACTTTAGTAGCTACAAATGAAAATATGAATAAAAGAACATTTACAACTGAATGGATGCAAGTTAATGATGTAGAAGAATCAGGATGAATATCTAATGAAACATGAGATCTCCAGCAGTAACAGAGAGTCAGTGAACTGACCTGAGAGTCTCCAGTCTGCAGTCTGGGCTCTCCAGAAGATCTCTCAGCAGCTCCACATCTGAATCCTTCAGAGCGTTGTAACTCAGGTCCAGATCTCTCAGATGGAAGTTGGACTTCAGACCTGAGATCAGAGCAGAACAGCTGATCTCTGACAAACTGCAGCCACTCAGTCTGAATAAAGAAAACATGATGTAACTTTAGAAAACAATGTTCCTGTTTGAAATAACTCCAGGTTTAATAATCTGTTCAGAGTTAAACAGGGTTTCAAAGGTCTCCTATCTGCTATCTTTAGGCATATATTCTGGGTCTCAGATATATAACAATATATAAAAACATCTCTATGATGTGTTTTGCTCCAAATACCAAACAGATCCTGAATTTTAGAAATCCCTCATATCCCTCTGTTCCAGCTGTTAGAGAAGAGCAGGTTCGGGGTCCTTAGCTTGAAAAAAGAGGAGGGGGAGCAAATGCCTGATCAGAATTACCCGGCAGATACAGCTAAATGCTGCCGTGATTAAACACCATCATGTTCCAAACCACATCAAGGATTCTCTCTGAAACAGCATGGAGCTCAAACTCTTTCTCTCTCAGGTTTACCACAAGGTGAGTTCCTTTTGATTTCCTGCTTCTTCACACATACTCTCTCCAGTACAGGTTAGCTCTGAGTGTTAGCATGCTAATGTAAATACAGACCATATTACTTCCAGATCACGTCTCATTGTTTCTGACAGCAACGTTTCTGATTGGCCCGTGGGTGTAAAGCCCGCCCACATTTTAGTAATGTCGTCATGACGCAGCAAATCTGGATCAGCTCCGTTGTTCCCCCATTTTTAGAGATGTGGGTACGGAGGAGAAGAGAGAGGGGTTTATTTCCTGACACTTTGAGAGTCTCCTGACACACCGGAGACACACGGGGACACACCGGGGACACACCGGGGACACACCGGGGACACACGGGGGACACACCGGGGACACACCGGGGACACACCGGGGACACACCGGGGACACACCGGGGACACACCGGAGACACACCGGGGACACACCGGGGACACACGGGGGACACACCGGGGACACACCGGGGACACACCGGGGACACACCGGGGACACATGGTGATGTAGAGAAGACATCAGAAAGTGCATTCTGCATGATAGGTCCCCTTTAATGTCAGAGATGATGCAGAAACAATCCACTGATAATCTGGAACTTTAACTTTGATCAGATGTTTATCAACTCCTTCATCTCCCTCACAGATCATCAGTACTGACAGCATCTCCACTGACTCATGGAGCACAGAGTGAGTCTGTGGAAGCTCAAACTCTCTCCCTC